TTTAGAATTTACAATGAACAGTCTCTCTCGCTGAATTTTTTCGTACAGTGCTGCCATTGCTCTCTTTGAAATCGTTGAGTTTGCTAATAAAAATTTGTTAAATTGTTACAAAATAAGAAATTGATAATAAAACAAATTTCAAATTCAAATTAGGGCTTTCAGATGGCCTTATCCTATGGAACACAGGGACATTTATAGTGAACCAATGCAAAATGCCAAAACAAAATTAATTGTCCTTCAGGGCAAATTGCCTCTTTGGACTTAAAAAGTCCTCAAACTGGCTTTTTTATACATGATACTTATAAATTCTGTCCTTTTTATATAGCATAGTAATGTTCCAAACTCACTGTTAACATTTTCTTTTTATTCGTATGTTAGCTAGGTACACGCAGCCCAGACGTTATAGTGGTTATGGGAGGTAAACCGCTGAGTTGGCTTCCGACCAAGGTATAGATATATCCATGCAGAATTGATTACTAACTCGGCAGAAGTCAACCACTAGCTACCAAGCCTCAGCCCCGGCTGAGCAGACGACATTTATAAAATGCAAAAAAGAGATATACATCTGCATACAAGGCACTTGAAGAAGAGTACAAACAAAATATGTAGGTTGATCCAAAAAGTTTACAAGCAGAAGCATTTGAAACGCAATAATTGTGGAGCAAATATTTCCACCCAGGGTGGTTCACAGATGGCGCTAGTTGTCCTACAGCGGTTCTACGAGTAAGTAGCGTCAGTACGCAAACACTTAAGAGCGACAGTAATGGTACGACGTCTAGAAAAGTGGTGTCACATATAGGTGCGAGCCGTAATTCGATTCTTATGAGCCAAGAATGTGGCCGCATCCGAAATTCACAGATAAATTATTGAGGTATACGGGGACAAAGCAATGAGTAGACAACAGGTAGCGAACTGGTGTCGTTCTTATCAAGCGGGCAGGGAGCATGTGGAAAACCACAATATGGAAGCGAGCGGCCGTCCAAGTTCTTCAAGGACGGATATCAACACGGCACGTGTTGAAGAAATCATCCAAAGGGATCGACGAGTAATCGTGTGCGAGATTGCCTCAGAGTTGGACCTGGGTTATGGTAACGTTCGGCCTATCGTAACCATTGAGTTGCGATATTCCAAAGTTTGTGCCCAGTGGGTTCCACGTGCGTTGTCCTTGGAGCATAAGACCACTCGAATGATGTGCAGCCTCACATTTCTTCAGCGATACCATTCAGACGGCCAACACTTCATTGATCGCATCATTACTGGTGATGAAACATGGCTTCATCACTTCATCCCCACATCCAAAAGAGCCAGGATGGAGTGGAAACACGCTGGATCACCGACAAGGAAGAAGTTTAAGGTCACACCCTCTGCTGGTAAAGTGATGCCAACCGTTTTCTGGGATACGACTGGTGTTATCCTAAATGAGTATTTGGAGCGTGGCCATACCATTAAGGCCGATCGTTATTGTGCCACCTTAAAGAAATTGCGTAAAGCCATCCGACGCAAACGGCCTGGATTACTGAGCAGAGGCGTCATTCTTCTGCATGACAATGCCAGGCCCTCCCTATACTGCTCGTCAGACTCAGGAATTGCTGCAAAGGTTCAAGTGAGAGGTCTGGAATCACTTCCCATACAATCCCAATTTGGCTCCAAGTGACTATTTCATTTTTCCGGCGTTGAAGCTATACTTATCCGGAACACGGTTCACCTCAGATGATGCAGTGAAAACAGCTGCCAATAAATGGCTCAATGAGCAGGGCCCCGATTACTACCAAGACGGGATAAACAAGTTGGTCGAACATTCTGACAAATGCCTAAACAGGTTTGGCGACTATGTGGAAAAGTGAAGGCCAGATGTGTCACTTGATTCCCATTTGTATCTTGTTTCTATTGTTAATAAATACTTTTTCATTTGCCTTGTAAACTTTTTTTTTGGATCACCCCTCGTACATCATTTCAACATTAATGCTTCTCATATGATTCTTACATAATGCTTCAAGCAATAATAATTTCCCACTTGTAAATAAAAATGTAAAATTAAATAATAAGCTGAATTAAATCATTAGATATGTTGTATCCCTTCTCTCGCATCACTGCCTTCTAAGTTTGCTCTTTGCAGCTGCACTTTCTTCAGATATTAAAATGTAAAATTTCATTTAAGAATGGACATGTTTAATGCCAATTTTATCTGCCTTTATTAAAAAATTTTGTCTATAACAAAAGCATTGTTTTGTCAACCGTTCTATCAGCCATAATTGCAAGTATCTCCATTTTCTCTTCAAAGTTATTACATATGTATAGACTTATGGTGTTCTTGTTAGTATATGGCATGCATAATTGTGCACTTTTCAAAAGAATGTAATTTGTAACATTAATAGCTTTCATTATCTTAATACGTATGACAACAAAATTATCAGTACTTTCTGATAATTAGAACCCTCAGTTTCAATATTCAGTAGAACTGATGTGTTTTTGGCTTGTTTCCAAGTGCAGGTATCCATCTTATAATATGTTTTCTACAACACAGTTTTGCTCTTGCACAAAAGTTACAGAAACCATGGTTTAGCATGGCAACTCGGTTTCATTTTAGTACGTTGATGAATATAGGTAAAACCTCTTATAATAATCTGCGTGTGTACATACTTTGTTAACACGACTTTTATTCAAAACATTTACAAAATTAAGTTAATACTAAACCATCATGTGTAATGCAACCTATTTATTTATAAATGCAAAAATAAAATAAATTCTGGGAATATCTGCATTCTTTTGGAATTAAGTTATGACCAAAATAAAGATTATACATATATATGGTGCCCCAAGAGTTCAGTTCGTGGATTGTATAGTTGTAATTTTCGAGAAACTTTAAAAAAAAAGTTTTCAGTATGTGTTACTAATTTACTTTATGATTGTTAGGAGTAACTATTACAAAATTAAATATTTCAATTCTAAACTACGTCTGAAAGTAAAAAGACAACTTTTAAAAGAAAATTTATTTCATTGAATAAATCAAATGCAAGTTTGTTAAGAGGAGAAAAGGCATTTCACATAGCAAATATTCTAAATTTAAATAAGAAAACAGCGAGAGCCATTAAAAAATATTTTGTTTTTAAAGGTTCTTGGAACCGATCTTGTTTTATATTGGTTGTCAATCTCGGATAAAACGCTATTTTCTAGGTACTTAACCCTATCGTCCTATAGGAAGGATACGTGTGTACAGATAGCAATAGTCAACTGAGACGTGTTTGAGTACACATTTATTTCCATGCTTTATATTTAACCAAATAATACAGCCTGCTGAAAAAATGTAAATATGCTTCTTTTAAAATAAAACAAAATGCTTCTTTTTATTATTGTGTATGAAAATTACAGTACCTATAAGATACAAAAGTAGGTATTTTTTTTTTAAAAACCAATTCACAGTTACCATTGGTGAGTAATTTTGGAAAATGATATTATAAGAAAGGGTAATGATACAGTATGTGATCTACTGCTTTTACTTATTTATTTAGTTCTTAGATAGGATGCTGTTTTTAAATATAAAGATAAATACAAGCAATTAAGAATACATCAATAAAAATCATTGTGTAAAATAATATCCTACAGTCAAAAGTCGTTAATCCGGACTCGTCGGGACTTCGGCGATTCCGGATTATAGATCATCAGTTTAAATCTCGTAAGATGGCATGCAGAAATTCTAAAATTAAAAATATGAAACCGTAATTTATGAAATAAAGAACAATTATCTAAATTGATCTAAAGGGTATCGAAATTTACAAAAAAAAAAAAAAAAGCTTAATATTTATTTGTTTACTTTATTAAACATTTCTTTCAATGTAAGTTGTTTAAGTTGCTTCGTTTTATGTGATAATACTTTCTCTTTAATTCTATAAACAGACATAATTTCTTGTTCAGTTACAAAGTTCTGCTGTTCAAGTCCCGTAATTGATGTGCCGAGAATACCAACTAACTTGTCAATCGAAATTTTTTCGTTTTCACTAAACTCTCTGTCACCTTCTTCATGTCTTTATCCATTTTTTTGCAGCAATTCCACTTTTTGTTTGATGGACATCGAAACATACTTTCGTTTTGTAGATCCTTTGGGAGCTCCAGCATAGGAAATTGTATTTGACATAATCGAAAGTTCAAGTTTACTTTTATAAAATTGCTCTTACAGTCTGCAAAAAATTATAAGCCGGATCCAATTCGAAGATTAAGGAACAATGCAATCATCAACATTAACTGAAATAGATAATTAGATAATTTTAGCTTATACCGTCCGTTATACATAAAACACGCACGCGAAAACGTATTCTGCGCTTGCGCACACGCATATGCACAGTTGTAAAAGTCTTAGACGCACGCGTAAACGCCTATACGCATGTGTCAATGCGGCGCATGCGCAGAAAGCTTTGAGGTCCGGATTATGGGTGTCCGAATTAAAGACTTTTGACTGTATTAAATTTTTAATTCCATGAAATTTAAATTATTTCCAATTTTATAAAAAAAAAGCAGGAGTGATCCTTAAAGGAATTTTTTTTGTGAATTGTTTGGCTGTATACTGTACAAATGTCACATAGTATGGTAAAAAAATTGTCATCATTTTCATTAATGAATTTTCTTAATTCCTCCCGTACAATAATGTGGATGTATTTGTTATGTAGTACTCCAAATGCTGTAGAGAATCTTTAGCTTCAAAATTCCTCAGTATGATTTCAGTTATTTAAATATTTATATTGTCTACAAAAATCTGGTGGTTACAATTCAATGATCATATTGTAATCTGTCCAGTCCCTTATGAGACCATTCATCACTTAAGATAATAATGCATAACTAACTAAAAACAATAGATAGCACACTACATAAGAAAGTATCATATTATTTTATGCTATTGAAAAAGCTTAAAATTTTTATTCTTCTCAGCTGTTAATAGAGTTCTAAATTTCGAGTATGCTTTTCAATTTACTGTCCAATGTTTTGAGGAAAAATTATTTTCATTTCAGAACCTCATATCTTGCTTTTTCGTCGACCTTTACAAGGCCCAGCTCCCAGCCAGGAAGAACAGGCAATAAGTGACATGTGAAAATTAATATAAATGTGCACATATCTGGAGTATAAGAAATATTTGTACATATTGTATAGTTTTGCTGGAGATTCTGAAAAGTGAACTCTGTGAAGTTCGCATGAAAATGTATTTTCCGTCTTTGGCTTAGATGGGGACATTACTAAAATTTCTTATAAAGAAGTATTTTAGTCATGAGCTATAAATAAAAGCATTACATCTAAAGCATGCAGGTAATATTTATGAAATAAGAGATGTCTCTAACTTCATATTTTGGACAAAGTACACATTTTAAAGAATTTATTCTTTTTAAACTTTCAATTGATTTGTAGATATTGTTTGCTTGAATTTTTCAAACTATTTTATAAGCAATGTCAATTTTTCTTAAGCACAAAGTTAATGCTTATGTTAGTACTTTTTTTTAATACTAAGTACGCAACATAAAGTACAAGTTTTTAAAATATTTCATGTGTTTAATAGGGCTCTAAATTATAATAAAAGCAGTCAATGTCCTCATCATTCATCTGATTTTCATTTAACCTATTGTTAGTTAAGTACTTTGTATAAAATAAATTGTTTTGTTTCTGTTTTTTTTTTTTTTTTTTATTCAGTGCTTTATTTTCTTATACAAAATTGTATCAAATTTGAATTTAAGAAAAATCAATATTATTCTTGTGTTGGCTTAGTATATTATTTATTGTTTCATCAGTAACTGCAGTTATTCAGTGTAATAAGTAAAAAATTGATAAATGGAATTTGATGTTAAATTAATAAAATTATGAATTACACAATAAGGTCTTTTTATTTTTCAATAAAAGTGTGATTTAAATAAAGCCTAAGTGTTTAGGCTGAAAATAAAAAATATATATATATACTGAGCCTTTTTTATTTATTTATTTCTATTTAATAGAGTACACTTTTGGGGAAATTTTTGTTCAAAATATTAATAGAAAAACTGTTAGACAATGAGATCCATTTAAATGTAAGTAATGCTTGATATAACAATATTCATTGATAAGGAAAATTGGCTGTGGGAGCCATAACAAGTGAAAACTGCATACTCTCTTATAACATTGATGGCTGATTTAAAAAAGGGTTGATGCAGGGAGCACTGTCAAAATTCCGACTTGAGCACATTCATGCTTATTTTAAACTGGTGTAAACAAGTTTGTGGAATAAAAATATTCATTACAAAGATCTCAAGTATATTTCCAGCTCACAAAATCGACTCTCAAATTCCAACATTTTTTCGTATAATAATAAGAGGTTAAATCATATTATAAATAAGAGGTTAAATCATTCGTATAATAATAAGAGGTTAAATTTCTCTTACATACTGTCAATGCATTATATCTTATTGTGTAAACTGATGTTAATGCAAATTTGAATATTGATATAGCAAATTGTAATATTCATTTTGAATGGTTAGGAAGTGTTAATACTGTGTAAATGGCTGAGAAGAAATTTAGAACTTGGTTGAAATATAAAAATGACATATTTATTAAGAGCCAAGCATGAGAAGCTAGTACAGTTAGCTGAGGATTTTGGTCTTGAGCAGATCCACGAATGAGAAAAGCACATTTAAGTGATATAATTGTAAAAAGAGAAAGTTATGAAGAAGAAAAAGTTATGGCCACTCTTGACTGTTAACAGGAGGAGAAGAGAGTTGAAATGAAACAGAGAGAGAAAAGAGAAAGTTTGAGGTAGAGATGTTTAGAATTACAACTGTGAGTAGCATCAGGAAATCCACTCGCAATATTTCAGATATTCTGTTTCAGTGGAACACGCTTGAAAAGAAAAGACTGATACTAAAATTTGATGTCAGGGCAAATAGTATTAGTTATATTAGTCTATATTTAGTTCTTTTTGAATGCCAAGCTAAATCTATGGCTTTTTCAGAAACTGAATGGCCTACCCAGCTTATGGCTATTTTGCCAGTGGAGGTAAGACAGATAATGATTTGTGAAACAATGATGAAAACAGGAGAGTATGCTCAAATCAAATTTGTTTTGCTGGATTGTTACTGTTTAGGCCCAAAATCCTTTAGGCAAAAATATGTCCATCACACAGAGCTGAACAATAGGTGGAAAGCTTTTATATATAAATTGCAGACTTGTTTTGATAGATGGATAAAACGTTTAGAAGAAAATACTTTTTCTGAGCTGGAAAAACTGATGGTTGCAAAGCAGATAAAAAAGTGCATGAATGCCAAAGCTAAAGAAAAATAGGTAGATGAGTGTGGTAAAATAAAATCATGGCTCATGTTAGTGGAGAAACTATATAACTTCAAAACTATTCAAGAATAATATATTCGCTAAAGGAAATTTTCAGGTTATGAGACATAGTGAACCTAGAAAGAGGGAAAAGAAAAGAGAAGACCCCAAGAAATTATCAAATAACCCTTATAATATAAATTATCAGGACAGGGCAAAATAATTTGAGGAACAGACACCACTCTAATGTTTTGAGTGTGGATCTTCTTCACATTTGCAACTCTCATGCCCACGGTGGAGAAATAAAAAACAGAAACTGCTCTGAAATTTTTAGCAAGGTTTGTCTTCACATTTGCAATCCTTATGTCCACAGTGGAGAAGAAAAGCAGGAACAGAAATTGACACACATGGTTTTGCATGGCAGTGCAGAAAATTACTTAGACAGGATTTGTACGGTCCTTAAAAGTCCTTAATTTTGCTCATTTGACATTTCTTATTATTTTCAGTGTGAATTGTGATTTCTCCTGAATATGGAATTAAAATTACAGGGCTCTTAACCAATCTGTTGGCAGATTTGCATTGCAAACAATAAAAATTAAAAAAAAAAAAAAAAAAAAAAAAAAAAAAGTCATCCTAGAACGAAAGTATCAGGTGTCTGATTGCTATTTACCTAATCTTTCGAAATAGGTGTTATCCATAAATTTAGGCAGATTATGACGAAAGCATGAAGCCGGAAATTCTTTAAGAGGCGAAAGTGATGATGAAGGTGCTCGAGAAAAAAAAAGGGGGGGCGGGATTCTGAAAATATTTGCTAAAATTAGAACAATTCCAACTTGGAAGGCCACAACCGCTCCGACGCCAATAGGAACGAGATGCCTGGAAAATGCATTTTCAATAAACTGTGGCATCATCAAGCTGACTACAAAGACTGGATATTGATGGATGACAATCCTTTTAAAGCTAAATGTGGTCTTTGTTTGAAACAAACTGATATTTCTAAAATGGGAAAGTCAGCGCGGAAAATTCACATGAAAGGTAAGTTTCGTTTTATCATTTCAATTTGTTTTTACATGGTTTTGTTTAGCTTAATTTCTGTGTTTGTTTGAATTAAGCCGTAAGTTAATTTTTGATCACCTGCTACGGAGTTTATTCTCTTTTGCACGCATATGTATGGAATTTTGGGATTCTGAGTTTATTTCTCAGAGGGTTTGTTATCGATTTCGCAGAAAATCTGTTGGCTCCATTTCGATTTTAGGTCGCCAAGGGCAAATTTGGTAACGATAGCCAAAAAAAGTGAAGTTTGGAAATACGTTTTGAAGTTTCAATAGACAATTAAGTATTTTATAAAAGGAATGCTGCTTTCAGAAGAATGTTATTAAATTTTAATATTGCATTCTTAAGAGATAACATTCACCAAGTTTTAGCGATCCAACCCCCCTCCCCCCCAAAAAAAAGCTGTTGTTGATAGTGATGCATTATTTTTGCTAATGGTGAGTGATGCAATTATTAGTTGAAAACAACTAATTTTTTTATATTTTTAAAGCTGAAAACAGCTAATTGAAACTAATTTTCCTGAATTAACTAGACACAAAATTAACTTTCATGAATTACTAAAGTTGTTGGGTAGAAGTTTAACTGAAAATATACATTCCTTATTATATATATATATATATATGCACACAGTAGTTCAAGATCCGGACTCTCGTTAGGACTTTGCCGATCTCAGATTTGGGATATTGCCGGATATTAGATCATTTTAAATCTACTAAGATGGCACGTAGAAATTATAAAATTAAAAATATGAAATCATGATTTATGAAATAATAAAGCATTTATAATTTAAAAGGTATCAAAATTTACAAAAAAAGAGCTTAATATTTATATGTTTACTTTATTAAACATTTCAGAAGTACCTTATACAAGCTGAATTTAGAAATGGGTAAATATTAAGTAACTGAGACAAAACAAATTTTTTAAATTCTTAATTTCTTGGTCAGGGCTGGTTAAAATTGAAAGTTAACTGTTTAGGAGGGAGTACAAGTGATCAACTGTGATATTAGCAAAAGCATACAAAATAAAAGGAGGTGAGGGAGAAGATCTTTTGAGAGATGTTAAAATCTGAACTTCTTCAGATTTATTTATTTATCTATTTTATCATCACTTTAGATTACTACTATTCCAGCTCAAACGTCAGATCAAAAGCTGCTGAAGTAGGGTTCCTGCCTTGTATCTCACAACTGTTAAAGGTACCTGAATTTTCAAAAAATTTTTGGTGTTAGTCTTTCCAGTTAGATCAGATGCTTTCATTTGTCGTGGTATAAATATAAAAAAATTTGTCAGAATATAAAATTGCATATTTTTTCAAAAGACTGTGATTCTTCAAATTTAAATAAAAGAACGTTATTGCAAGTATTGCATTTCTTAAATAACACACTTCTTTACGAAATGATTCCAAAATAAAATATATAAATTAATATTACAAAATAATGTGATATTTTCCCAGGGAGTATTCAGTTCATTTATTTAACACGTTGATTGCTGCGCACATTTTACTAGTTTGTCTATGGCGCCAACATGATTTTTTATTATGCGACACATATTATGTACAGAAGATAGTGTAAGTTATATAATCATGTTTAATGCATTTTTTGTGGTGGAGATCACCAGTGCCCCACCTATTATTCTTCAAACCATTATAGTAACAATGCTATTACTTCAAAATTTATCAGTATCGATTACTCTAATTATGTAATTTTACTAATGGTCATGTCACCAGAGGCCCCCCACAGCGCTATAGCCAAGTCGAGAGCCGGCCACCAGTGACCTACACGACAGTCAACATGTTAAACAATCCAACATTTCTTTTTTCATTACATTTAAAGAAATGTTGCATTTTATCTACTTGGGAAAATATCAGATTATTTTGTAATATTTTATTACCAAGAAATATTAAATTCTATTGTGAACGAGAAAAGAGACTGAAAATGAAAGATTTGGCATCTCCTTACCAAAAGATGGTGCTTTTCTTCTGAATTAATAATTTTATAAAAAAAAAATAGTGCTTTGTTATTTATTAGCCATACCCACTGATGCATTGCCAGCATACAATCCATGACCTTTTGCTTTTCTGTAAGTGTTGTGGCAATCAAACTGTTCCAGCATTTTCAAGAAACATCTGATTTTATTTTTCCATGCGAAGAGTCCATTTTTATTTTTCCAAGAGAAGGTAAGGATGACATTTTCTTTTCTTCAAAGTCAACTTCAGACCAGTTAGCACAAGTGCATATCTGTAATGCATTCCTAACCCTATTCTCACTGAATATGCTTGGGGTAAAATTTGTTTCTCAGATTGATTTCTACTGCATTTTGCATGTCCCAGATTTGCCGAAGAATAATACGTAAGTAAGTCTTCATCTCCGGGGGCGATTTATGAAAAGATCTTAACTATTACAGCTCTCATGCAACGAAAATGTAGGATAGAAATATAATATTAATGAAAAAATATTAGAATAAGAACTGGAAACTAATCTGAGGAAAGTAGGTATCTTATTTAGTGAAATCCAGGCACAGAGAAACACAAGCTCTATAGAATAACAATCTGTCAGATGCATTTGGGAAACATTATCTGAAAAACTTATTTAACTGATTTGCTGGCATCAAAAATA